GAAATGTGCTACTCTTCCACGCAAAAATCTGAAATGTGCTAGTCTTCCACGCAAAAATCTGAAATGTACTAGTCTTCCACGCAAATAACGAAATGTGCTACTTTTCGACGCGAATAATGAAATGTGCTAGCCTTCCACGCTAATAGTGAAATGTGCTAGTCTTCCACGCGAATAGTGAAATGTGCTACTCTTCGTAGGGACCGACGATATAAACAAGTAAAGAAGTATAAGTTCGGGCGAAACCGAACTTTATATACCCGGCGCACGTATTAAATATCGTTTTTTTTTTCAGAAAAGTATTTTTCCCAATGTCAAACAGTTTCAATAATATGCTATGATATATTGAAATAATTGGACCAAATTTGGTGGAAATCGGTAAGACGGTTATCGTTATATACTTCTATAGTCGTAAGTGGGTGGTGCCAAGCCTATTTAACAAAAATCAATAATCTTGTGTCTTCTTAAAAGATTGTTGCAAGTTGGCATCTTTAGTTATTGAAAGATCGGAGTTTTCGTAGTCCTGAAATTTACCGTTATATGGTAAGTGGCAGTAATTTTAGTCCGATTTCAAAAAATTTCAACATATTGCTTTTTTGCGTCAAGGTTTCTAAATGTGCCGAGTTTGGTAGAAATTGCTAAACCGGGTACCCATATACACATATGTAGGCGTAAGTGGGCGGTGCCACGCCCATTTTCCAAAAANTCCTGAAATTTACCGTTATATGGTAAGTGGCAGTAATTTTAGTCCGATTTCAAAAAATTTCAACATATTGCTTTTTTGCGTCAAGGTTTCTAAATGTGCCGAGTTTGGTAGAAATTGCTAAACCGGGTACCCATATACACATATGTAGGCGTAAGTGGGCGGTGCCACGCCCATTTTCCAAAAATTGCGCTAAAACTCATTTTCTGCTAAGAGGTCATTGCATATATTGATTGTGAGTAAATTAGCTTAAATAGTTACTAATTTATCGCAGTTTTCGTATTTCTGTAAACTACCGTTATATGGGAGGTGGGCGTGGTTCTTGTCTGATTTCAAAAATTGTCAACGAGTTTTTTAGTGAGGACCTAAGCAATGTTCTCACCCTGTTTGGTAGGGATTTTTAAAGGGACTACAGAGATACAACATTTAATCATAAGTGGGCGTGGCCCCGCCCATTTTCCAAAAATTTTATAACTGTCCTATTTTATGCCAAAATTCTACTTCAAATACCAACTTTCAACAATTTGGATCCAGTATTTGCGGAAATATCTTAGCTTTTACATATTTCGAAAATACCGTTATATGGGAGGTGGGCGTGGTTATTGCCCGATTTCTTCCATTTTCAATCCCAACCTACCTTGGATAAAGAAAGGGCAACCTACTTACCAAATTTAGTTGACATATCTCAATTTTTCATCGAGTTATCGTGTACACGCACAGACGGACGGACGGACAGACATGGCTTAATCGATTTCTCTTTTAATTCTGAGTAAGTGCTATATTTCCATATGAACCTACAACAAAAAAAAACAAAAGTTATAAGAAGAACATATTGCTTAAGTGAATAAAGATCTCAATCAATTTTAGTTGAATAAAATTCTTTTGAATTTTGTTGCTTTTATTTTGTATAAAACTGCCAATATCCTACAAAGTTGCAATGCATTTTTCTTATTCAAATATCACTTTGATATGCTGGATTTCCACTAGGCATTACAATCACAAAAAATGTATACCATTTAAATAATGCCATGTGGAAATAGACATAATGACTACTTTTATGAACGTAATGGCACGGGTATTTTTTAATGCCCAAAATTGTCTAAAAAAATTTTGTCATTTAATGACTAGTGGAAATTCAGCATTAGGCTAAACCAAACAAATATAATGCTGGATTTCCACTAGGCATTAAATGGCGAAAATGACAATGACAAAGTCGGGCATTAAAAAATAATCTTGTCATTACATTAAAAAAATAGTCTTAAGTCCATTTGAACTTGGCATTTTTTAAATGGCTTAAATTTTTTGTCATTTCAATGCTTAGTGGAAATTCGGCATAAAGATTGAATATTAAAAAAATTTATTTTTCCGTCGAAATACCACTGTGCGTTGGCGCTGCAGCATAAGGGCCGCCGCATGGTACCTGCAGGTTGCTGGATAGTGGAAATTGGAATGAGATATAAATATTCCTTGCAATTGTGTGAATTTTTCAGACAATGAGGCTCCAGTCTCAGAAGGTCTAGTTGGGTACTAAAGTATCGAAATTTATCCATGAAGAATGGCGTAACCAGCCTAAATTGATGGGAAGGAGACGAAGGAATACTTATTGGGCATCCTCCCTCACTTTGCTAGACTTTCCTTTTTTTTAAGAGAATCAACGCTGCTTACGCATAATATGAAATAAAGAGGGGCGCCAAATGAATGCCCCGCCCGGGGAGCTTAAGATGGTTAAGGCCGGCCGTGCATTCCTACACTTCCCAACTTGCATGTGTTGCTGTTCACAATTGCTGCAAAATTCACCACAGAACATTTACAACAACAACATTATTAACCCATCAACAGGCGCCAACCACAAATCTACACCACTGTTAGGGGAGCGATTTGAAATAATAAGCAAACGATGACCAGCAGCGATGATGAGCGCGCGTAGACGGACAGCGATGTGACGCTACGCCACTACGATGGATCCGCTGTTGGAATTTTTAGGGGCAATCATTCGCTAGTGACTTCTTAACGCTTCAGTTGAGTACAAAACATTGATGTGCGAGGTTGTTAGCACGGCTAACAAAAAGGAGCGAAAATACGGTCATCATCACATAGGGGCGTCTACGGTCAAATAGTGCAAAACAACCGGTCGAATACGCGAAAGAT